ATTATTGAAAAAGAAACAAACAAAAAATAACACTTTAAACAGCTAAGCTCAAAAAATGCCCTTATAAAGTACCAACTCTCCTTAATGTTGGTCAGGGTGACAAAGATGTTAACATCAGAGTTTAACACACAGCACACGTTTCAAACTTCCAAACAGTTATTTGAAAGGTAATAGTGTCTACTCCATCACTACAAATCAAATTTCCCAAAAGTAATTCTTGTAGTTCTCTAATAGAGCTATATTCCAAACAAACTCACCTTTCTACTTACCTCTGAGGCAGAATTTGTAACACTTTGTGGGGTATGTCACATGAGCAATTTCAATGTATTTTAGTGGGAATGATATATAATCTCCTGAAAATTTACACCTTAAATAAGTCCTAATGGGCTGAGAGAACAGCAGTAGCTTAAGTGGATCTATTAAAAAAGGCTGAGTGGGTCAGTGATGGGGATGGAGATATCATTTTAACTCTCTCTTCAGTTACTGTTCAAAATACATCAGTGGTCTAGTCTGGCCATTAAAACACACACACACACACACACACACCTCTATATAATTCGCTTGTGACATCAACACTTACTTTCTTCATTGATCTGAATCACAGATTTTCCAACAAAAGGAAGGTACTGAACCATTTTCATTACCTCCCTTAGAATCGAATTTTTATGTAGACTGCTGAATATCTGTAATTCCTCTCATAGGGAAATTGATTGGTGCAGAGAACAAGAAGACATTTTTCTCTGTCAAAATCTACAGAAAGGAAGACCCCTATGTAATTTTCAAGGTGAAATGTGCCAAGTTAAATTCATTGTTTTAGGTTTAACTTTTAGCAGAGGAATGACCTCTTTCAGTATTTATCAGCTGATTTTTGTGTGAGCTCAGAGTGAAGCCGCATTGTGATCTCACTTGGTTCTATCCCATTAGTTGAGAGATCTTGGGCAATTCTCATAATTTTTCTGGGACTGAGTCTTCTCAGGTGTAAGGTGAAGGGGCTGACTATATTGGAGCTAAAGTTCTTTTCGGGGGTAAAGGTCTGTGAGTTGTGATTTAGAGCTATCTATGCTCACAGCATCTGGAAGAAAACAGAAATTCTAGAGCTTGTGGTGTTTCTATTTTGAGGGAAAAAAAATGCACAAAACAGCTTAAAAATCAAATGCTTTTTAATCATTTAGAGGAAAGTAAAAAAGCTTTAAAAAGAAACAATCCATGGTACATAGCCAGGGTAAAAATGCTGAGAGAGCAAGTGAGGTGGGGCGCTCCAGGCTGCCGGATGTACTTGGCCCCCATTTCTTTCAAAAGTCTCAGGCCGTGGGCACACAGATGTGCTGATTGTCCTGCACGCCCAGCTCAATGAGCCGGTCAGGCACTGGGTGGCATTTCAGATATTCTTTCTAAGCCTTTTGAGAATCCAAACGTATAGAGTCATTTCTATTTTTGCAGAGCTACGATAAACTGGAGAGCCGGCAAACATTGAATGAAAGTGTTCATTGGATAAAAAACATCTTACTTCCAGACTCTTAGATTATACTGTGATTGAACAGGAGTCTGGAAAGGCCGGCTTAAAATTAACAATCACTCGCCTTTGGGAGGCCGAGGTGAGTGGATTGCCTGAGCCCGCGGGTTCGAGACCCACCTGGGTAACTTGGCGAGACCTCATCTCTACCATAAATCAAAAATTAGCTGGGCGTGATAGCGCGTGCCTGTAGTTCCAGCTACTTGGAAGGCTGAGACGGAAGGATCGCCGGCACCCAGCAGGTGAGGCTGAGGTGGCCGGGAGCGGCCACTGCACTCCAGTCTGGGCGACAGAGTGAGACTCCAACTCAAAAAAAAAAAAAAAAAAACCCAAAAAACCCAATCACTCACTATTCTAACTCAGCAAGGACCAGGCTGGACTGCATTCCAGCAGAAAGGAATCCTTATATTAAACTCAACATTAAACAAGTCCATGGAGGAACTTAATAGCCAGGGTTTTTTTCCTACACCTATAGTTAAATATTCTAATACTTTGATGTTTGTCAACAGCATCTGTTTGAAGGTGTGGCTGTATCTCAATTTTTCCTTCTGTTTATTTCAAAGTTGACATTTTATAAGTTATTTAGGAACTGTTGAACCATGAAATGATTTTTCATTGTAAAAAATGCTGAATGGTGAAATAATGATTAGTTTCCACAGTTTGCCTCTTTATTTTATAATCTAGTTGAGCTACTAAATATAGTTGTGAAGTAAGAGACTGTCTCTTCTGGGAAATAAGTTATTTCCCCCACTGCCTACAGGTTTTTGAATGTTTGCATGTAAATATATGAATATATGAATGATTTAAGAACATAAACATATCACCGCTTGTTGTAACCATGTGCATTTTACTTGAACCACAATATGGGTTTGGAATAGGTTTGTGAATAGAGCTTGTTTTCATGTAAATGGGATCAAGCAGTACCACTGGTTAGCTATTCAGGGAATCAGACAATGCCACCCTTGCTGGAAATGCTTCAATAAGAATTTAATCCATGTACCTAATATTTGAACTCCGACTCTTGCTTCGTATTCCTGTGGTCTAATCCAGATCTCATTGCTGACAATGACTAAAGGATGGTGTGAGACTTAACGTGATCTATTTATGTGTGGCACCTTTTCTGGCACTGAGAATGTCAGGTTCATCTTGGAGGTAGTGCCAAAAGACAGCTTTCTTTTCCTCCTCTGTGGCATTCTAAAAAAAAAAAAAAATGCAGCATGGTCTGCCTGCCTGCCTGCCTGCTTCTAGAAGCAGCATCCAGGCAATAACCCTTTTAGAGAAACACCAAATCCACAGGACATAAAGTACTCATGGAACCCTCTGCCTCTCTGCTGTATGCATGATGTGCACATTCTAAACATTACTGTACTTTCTAAGTTTCTAAGCTGCTTACCCTTCCTGTGAATATGAAGGGAGACCATTACCAAAGCATTTCTTTCGGAAATAATATCAGCATCGCAGTGAGAGTAGCTTAATGTTTCACATTTACAAATGGGAAATTATAAACAGGCTGACATTCTGGCATTTACAACACCAGGAAAAAAAAAACGAAATTTAACAATTCATGCATAGAAAAGCCATTTCTAAAATGAAGCTTGGTGTATTTAGTTCATTTGAAGTCATATAGCTACCAGATGTGTGAGTCTATGTGTGTGTATGTGTGTACCTGTAATATTGTGTAATGTTATACAATATTGTGTAATGTATTTGTAATGGAAGCCTTAAACGGAATATGTATTATGTATATCAGTTTTACATGACCCTGTTGTTGTCTAGGGAAAAAGACTGTTTTCCAAACATGTTGTGCAGCTATTTTTAACCTAACTGAGAACATTAATCAGAAAAGAGCTTAAATCTTACTTCCTCTGCTTGTCTCTCTGGTACAAATAGGATGACATGGTGTGAGTGTCCATAACACAAGGTATGACAAAGCCAGGCTGTTTTGATATTTGTGTGAGGGACAAATTTAACTCTAAATCTCTTGGCCAGACCGGCCTTCCCCACATAATCAGAGCCCATCCGCGTGTGACCCTCGTCTAAACCTTCAGGAAGATGCTGCCGCTGCTCTCTGATCTGACTTTCATGCTTAATCTGATCTAATCCGGCCAGCATTATCTTCATCTGTGCAATGAAACCTAGAGGATTCTTTCTCATATTTGGTGAGGAAAGGCATTTACTAAATTACTTGCTCAAATCACACGGTGAGGTTTTAGCTCCTTATTTTTGATTAGATGAGGGATGCAGCATTCAGGCACATTATCAATGATTAGTCAGAAATCTAGGCTTCTCCCATGTTAGGAATAAGGTTTCTGAAATTGGGTCCAAAGCAACTAAAAGGGCCATGAAAGACTAGAAATTATCAGTTAGAAATAGAGCCAAATATTTATTTTTCATTGAGGAGTATTTTTCAGAAGAAAAAAAGCAAATCTAATTCCACTGACTTAGGTAGAAAAGTTATCTACTGAAAATCTTATTAAAATAAGAATAACTTAAAAACTTACTTCCTGAAAATTGCATTGAACTCTCTTCTAGGGAAAATCTTCTCTGAGTTTAGAATCTTACAACTGGCCTTATCAATATAATTGAACTTCTTCAGAATCTGAATTTATGTTTTCAGATCTAAAGTGTCATGATGAAACTACAAATAAGATCTCACTCTTAGCAGGGAAAACACTTGTGAATTGTTAATGTTTCCCATATGTTGAAATAATTACTATTCAAATTGCATGAAGAAACACATAAGATTAGTTGAAATAATTCTTAGGGTCTGACGCATATTTATACCTAACTTAGGATCAGACTTTCATTCACAAATAAATAGATAGGGCTAAAATAGAAGGCAACATATCTAATGTAAATTATTTTTTTAAAAGCAGGCACCTGACAGAGCTGGTCATGTTATTATTTGCATAAGAACAAAACGTAATTTTATAATGTTTGTTTTATGTATAATTAAGCACTATAACTGAACACATCAAAAGCATTAGGTAGCACATATACATTTTAAGAACGCTATTCCTCAAAGATGTTCCACAGATATGTTTATTTGCTACAGAGAACGTGTGTGTACACACATCTATATATTCCCTTATATCAATAGTCAGATCTCTCCTAAGAAGTAAGCTAATTGAGCTGTTTGTGTTGATAAACTCCTTTTTCTCCAGACTATTCCTCTCCGAGCCATAATTATTTGCAATTTGCCTAAGTCGTCCATTTACTGATACGTCAAGCATGAAACAGAGGCAATTCCAGAAAATGGAAATGCTTCTCAAAATCAATCTTTGGGAAATAATGTGGTAGAAGTTACTGTGTGATAGAAGACTACCTTATAACTGTCACATGGAGATGAATATTAATTTGTTGAGGTTAAGGTGGCTTTGTGCTTCATTTGTTGACTTTGCTTAGCCGTCAGCAAAGCAGCACAGCCCAATTACTCCAGCAAAGCTATTTTTTTCTAACAGGAGTTTTATAATTTTTATGTACTTACCAGTCAGCACACATAACAATGTCAAAATGTCCTTCCAGTTGAGAGACATCTGTCTCATTATCCCATCGTAAAACGCTTGAGGAGAAAAAGATTTTAAAAATTATACTTGGGTTTTTTTTTAACTTTTGATTTTGAGCTATTAACATTATTTTTGTGGCACTTGAAATTATTTAAAAGGTATATACAAATTATTTCAAAAGGTATGATAAAAACTGGGATGTAACTGTCTTCTGTATTTTATTTAGTCTTCAAATCTAGAAGAAGAATTCTCCATTTAAATTACAACAGTTAAGCTTTTTGCTAGTTTTTACAGGTTTTTATAGACAAACTAGGGAGAAATACACTCTCTTTACCACAGTTATTAGAATGATTCTAGACCCTTAATATCAGTGAGGGACATATTGAAACCAAAGTATTCCCCATCTGACTGGCATATAAATTTATAAAAATAAATGATGTGAGACTTAGTGTATATCTATCATGCCTGGCATGTTGGTTGCATTTCTTATTGATGAAATGAGCAATTTGGGAAGATGGGAGAAAAGAGAAGCCTACTTTCATTTGATAGATCTGTTCTTAGGTATATTTTTAAAATCACCCACACTGACAATTAGTTTCCAAAAGAGGATCAGCTTTTAAACCTCACATTAATAAAAACAATTAATAACATGCATTTGAAAACCCTAGTTATGCTTATGAAGCCGACCAGAGGTTTTTAGTTACTCTCAACTAATAAGAGATGATTAGTATTTTACCATATTCAAGTATTTTAATGGCTTATCTTACCACCACACCAAACTGTGTAAATTTCTGCTCTTATTCTATTTTGGTTCTTTACAGCTAAAATGAATGATTGTGTCCTTCCCTGTCTGATTACATTTGCTTGTTTTGGTGTGTTCTTTATTTCTTTTCCGTCTTTCCTGGGTGAAAAGTCATGTGTCTGAACATAAAAACAAGTCTTATTCTAGTCAGTCCAAAAGCTCTTTTCATACACAGTGCAGGTATACATCAATGCTAGTGAATTTCTTAAGGTAGACAAGATTAAACATATCACCACAAAAACACCTAGACAGGCTGAGCACCAGTCCTTCATTCACTCGTCCAACTCATTCCTACCGAGCACCTTCTCACTGTGTCAGGTCCTGTGCTGTATTTAACCTACACTTTCACAGGCAGCCTGGGAGCCACACAGACACATAAACCCCAGCTCCGGTGCCATATTCCACATGTTGTGTGAGCAGACAGACTTAGGGCATGGGAGGCTTTCCTGAAGAAGTGAGCTCTCTCAGTGTTCACAAGTCCTGTGACACAGGGACGAACTTTATAAATTAACTCTAGTGTTGCTATACTTGCCCAAGCCCTCTGGAGAGGCAAGAAATGAAGGATACCAGGAAAACCCTAAGAGATAAATGTTTTGTTCTTGGGTTCCTCAGAAGCTCCATGCATCTTGGGAGAGTGGGAAACAACCACCACCAACTTTTCTAGAAATGCTGAGGCTTCCAGTGTACCTGGGACTCAGGCTTTGTGGGAAGTGGGTCTGTCAACCCTTAGCAGAGACCTAAGTCTTAGAGAGCATCTCTGTGAACAAGATAGTTTAAAATATAGATCTATTCTAGATCTTCTCAGATCATAAAAGTAATGGATCCATCACATAAATTCTGAGAAAAAGAAGTATTAAAATTACTTGTAATCTTACCATTCCACAAAGGACTATTTAAAAGATGCTTTGAAAGGGTCTTTAGTAATTTAGTAATCACTGACACACAAGAACAGAAAGGGCAGGCAATCCCATGGTGATATTGGAAATTGTATTCCTGAAGCCCTTCAGCCTCTTGGTTTGACAAAGACAAACTGGAGAGATAGGGGTCTAGGCAGCGACTGGCTGTGGATTACCACAGCAGCGGTAACAAGGCATGACTCTAAAATATGTTGAAATACCCGACTTGGTCACATGGACCACAACACATTCCCAACAGGCATTTCCCCCCCAGTTCTCACGAGGCTTATGGCTATGCTGTAAGCATGTGATAAAGACAGAGAGTGGTGTTGTGGACGGAGTTCAGCGTCAGCACAACAGACAGACCTAGGATCAAATCTTGGCTCCTTACCCTTAGTGGCTGTGTGAATTTGGGCAATTATTTAACCTCTCTGAGCTTGTTTTCTGATCCGTAAATGGGCATACCTCCTTGGACACTCTAAGAGCACCATTCATACTGTATTTGGAGTTGACATGCTCACATAACACACAGTGAGAATGGTGCTTCCTGGAGTTGTGCAATCAGGCAGTCTTTTATCTTGGAAGGCCAGAGATGATGGATGATGCCATTATTCAAAGGGCTGGTCCTTCTGACCTCTCTCCTCCCATGACCCTCCCCTCCCCTTCTGGACACACTCCCATTCACGGTCATGCACATGAGAACAGGGCTTCCACTATGGGAAAGGCCAGATTTTTGCTTGTATCCAATACTTTTATAAGATATTACACAACCATAAAAAAAAAACCAAAAGTATGGACTTTGCAGCAAGTTGGATGGACTTAGAGTCTGTAATACTCAGTGATCTATCACCTCAGGTACTCACTTGTAAGTAGATCCTGAACATTTATCATAATACTAATACATAAGAAAGGGATTGGCAGCAATGGTACACTGCTGGGAGGGGGGAGAGGAGGGTATACAACATCAATAAGGGTACCCGATCTCAAACCAGGCAAAGTGGGGACCAAAGGGAGGGCCAAACTTTACCTGTACGATGACCACATAGGTACCTAACCCTGAATTGTACCCTGTATCTTTAAAATAAAAAAAAAATAGAAAATTACGATCACAGATCAATAGGCAAATGAGATTTTTAAAAAAGGCATTCCAAATGCATTCCAAATACAAGCCTACTGGTCCCATTCTTAAGAGCAGCAGTGTTTCTAAGCATTTCCTTTCAATTTCGGAACTTACCTCAGTGCGGAGCAGTAACGTACCGTTCACACAGTGGGACAGTCCACGGCCTAGTCACTGAGTCACACTGCTCTAGACTTTGTCCTTGCCAATTACTGCAGCCCCATCCCACTCTCCGACCAACCCCTCCTATCTTTCACAGCTCATTCCTTCTAGAGGGTTCTCTGTTCCAACCATCCTTCAGTCCCACTAGTTCATGCCAATCCCATCATCATGTCACTGACCCTCTTCTCTAATGTTTATCTTTCTTTCTTGCCCAGCTTAAATAATTCCTATTATTTTAATGACTCTCCTGCATACATGCTCAACTCGTCCCTCTCTTACTTCCTCACATTTATTAAATTCAACTCTGCCTGATCCATGCCTGCACCTGTGCTCAGTGAATATACTATGTGAATGAATTGTGTGCTATATGAATGAAAGTGGCTGGGGACAGCACAGAAGCATCAAATTCAGGTCATTAAATTCATGACCATGGACCTCAAGTGGACTCTTAATGATGTCTGGCTCACATTTCCTTTGCCCGTTTGGTTTCCCACCCTCCTGGGTCATTATTTTGCACTTTCTTCTCTTTTTTCAAAATTCTAACACGACCTCCCTCATACTTACTTTCAGGTAATGACCCTACTTCCTACTTTACTGTCAAAATTGCAGTAATCAGAAGAGAACTTCCGTAAACTCCCCCACCGTGCTCATGCTCCTAATAGCAACTGCACCGACATCCTCTGCTTTCCTGCCTGTACCATAGATGAGCTATCCATACTCCTATCTTCAGTCAGAACCATCTCTTATACCCTAGATCTAGCCCCTTTCACCTATTCTAGGGCATGACGCTAGCAATTTCGCTTCTCTTTCCTATCTTTATCAGCTCTTTCCCCTCTCTGGATTATTGCCATCAGTATTCAAGCAGGCAGTTATTTCCTATCATAAAATATCCTCTCTTGACACTACCTTTTCCTCTAGTTTCCAGTTCTCTGTTCCTCCTTTGCAGCAAAACTCCTTGAAAAAGTTGTTTAAGCTCTGTTTCCAATTCCTCTTTTCACTTCTCTCTTATATCCACTCCAATCTGGCTTTTGTCCCCACCATTCCCTCAAAAATACTATTGTCAAATTCACCAAAGATCTCCACTTTGCTAAATTCTGGTCAGTTCTGAATTTTCATCTTACTTGACCAATCAGTCTGAATCTTTCCCTTGAGCTCCAAATTCAAATATCCAACTTCTTATTTGAATATTTCCCCCTTGGATATCTACCAGACATCTCAAAACGTAACACATCCAAATTGAAATTTCTAAACATCTTTCCCCAAATTTACTTCATTCACAGTCTTAAAAAAAAAATCTCATTAATGGTAATTCCATCTTTCCAGTCGCTCAGGCCCAAACCCTTAAATATACCCCCAGCCGGGCTCGGTGGCTCAGCCTGTAATCCCGCGCCTTTGGGAGGCTGAGGTGA